CAAAGTTATGACTTACTGCGCGTACTGTAGCATAGCTATGACGAAATGTGCTCTTCACAAAAAAATCGAGCTCTACTATATTGTACATTACTATTTGTCATGTGTTGTTAAGTTAGTTGTTATAGTTTATTTGTAGGACACATACAGGGTGTTTCCGAACTTGGCGTCCAAATTTGTAGGGGTAGTAGTTCGCATAATTTGAGAGCGATTGGCAGATTTCATTTTTCTAAAAAAATTATAATAAACAGAATAGAGCAATTATAAAAAATCAAAGAGAAGGTCCTACCCTGAGCGCGTAGCGCAATATTCCTCAAAAACAGATGCGGTTTGCAATTTTGTCGATTCTAAGCGTAGCGCGCGCGAGTCTAGGCACTCCCATCGCTGTGCAGGACCGTACCTGTTTATAATTTTTAATTAATTTTTGATTATTTTTATTTTAAATATTTTGGAAAAATGAAATCTGCGAATCGGTCGCAAATTATGCGAACTACCACCCCTACAAATTTGGACCCCAAGTTCGGAAACACCCTGTATATTTTAGAAAGAGTATAAAGACTATAGAGAAGGAGGCGAATCGGCAATGGTCAAATTTTAAATTTCCGTCTATCTTTTTATAAAGTTCGCGAAATTGACTATAGTTGGCATGTCTAATGATAGCGCAGCCAATTTTCTATGTAAGTCGATGTAAAATAAAGTGATTTTTTAAAAAATTGATGAAAATAATCAAAATAATGTGAAAAAAGAACCTGAGTAACAAGTAACATGAGTGACAAAAAACATCAGAGCAAGATTTACGTCGTTTCAAATTGTAAAACAGCATAAAAATCAAATGTAAAACTAAAGAAAACACAAGAAGAAATCAATTCAATGTCTTTTTAAAGCTTTTAATGTAACTAAAATAATGTATTCATGTCTAAATGTAATATTTATTGTAAACTAGTTACAATATGTATCTTACGAAGTGTAGTTTATTTTATTATAAGTTTCTATAATATAAAATTTTACAGTTATAGATGCTGACTTACAAAAAACAATAATTATGCATTAAATTTAACTTACTAGAAAAGAGAATTTATTTTTTATAGAGTTTTAATATTAGATAAAGAGTTGCTGTTATTTTATTTTTGACTCCAATTGTGTCATTTTATAGTATACTAAACGTTTAGAACAGTGCCAGCATATATATTGTTCCTAGTGCCGAAAAAGCACTTTCTAGAGATGATGCTGTTCTATAGTTTTTAGAAGATATTATGAGACTATTTTTACTGATGGTACTGTTAGCAAAATAAAAAGGGGAAAGCTGAAATTAAAGGATGACGTAATACCATGAACATTCCCAAGTCTCCCTTTATACTTGTATTACAACAATAAAAAATCTATTAACTACATTTTATTTTACTCTTAAAACTATATATTGGTTCAATTCAAAAAAACATTTGCCACAAAATTGTACGTATCAAATTTCAGCAATTAAAAATCCTTTTTGAATTTACTCATACATACCTAATTTGTATTTTATATAGATAAAATTAAATAATTTATCAATTGAAACATGCAAGACTTATTTAGAAATAAATACAACAGTATGTTCTGTGCTTTATTTAAGCTGCAAACAAGTTTATTTTTATTATTTTGACAAAATTATGTATAGGTAATTCCCATAAGAAGCCATGTATTTTGAACAACGTATGCAGTACCAGCGCCCATGCGGTGAATTATAGAAGCTCAATTAGCATGCGTTTTTTGGGACCGTATTTTGAGTATGCCCATTCGTCTCCTTATCTCTAGTCTTCATAAGAAATAGTCTTGTCAAAATATTTTTTGGGTGTGTTAGTCACAGTACCCAGGCAGCACACATTAGTATAACTAACGTATTTTATACGTAATACTCGTTTAATTTTGGTATTGGTTGATTCCGTATACGTTTACAGTTTACGATTATTATACATGCCTTATTTTAAAAGATATATTATACGTTTTTTGTATACATCCTATGGTATATAATTGTAAATTTTTCTACGTTTAAATGTAGTTAACAATATACGACTATTTTTAGTTTGCGATGAACTATTTATATACAGTGGGTCTAAATATACGTTTAGGTTTATTTAAATTAAATTCGTATAAATTTACATAATATTACAATATGTGTTCTTCGTTTATATCTCCCGTTTAAATTTCGTCTTGGTTGATTTTTTAAACGTTTACCATCTACCATTTTTATACTTTACGTTTTTTAACAGATAAATTAAACGCTTTTGTTTGTGGATACTAGTTAATATACCTATATTATTCTACGTTTAAATATAAGTCACCTTAAACGCATATTACCAGTTTACGATGAACTAGTAGACATAAGTAAATAATATGTATATATTTAGATTTATTTAAATTAAAAGCTTATAGATATATTTATTTACATTACACCATATTTTTTTAATTATATTACCTGTAATATTTATAACAAATTCCCCATTGTACCGATTTCAAACACCCGAACATTTAAATAACCCGCCAATAACAATGGTGGGGTGGACTAGTCCATGTCGTTTCAGTGAGTGAGATTCGGGGTGTGCTTTAAGATAAGTCGGGCTGGTCCAAAGTGCGCGTAGTGCATAGAATCGAGAGGGGAGTAAGCTACCGGCAGACGATCGGGAATCAGCTGGCTGATGGTGGCTGGTGGCTGTGAAGGGATCGCTATCAATCAAACGATTCACGCTATTATAAGTTATATTTCTGTTAACTAGTTGCTAACTAAAATAATTGTTTTTTATGTAATAAAAAGTTCTTGTAAAATTGTTGGTGTTGTTGTGCCCATTTGCATTGCATGTTGCTTTGGCGTCCTGGCTTTTACGATATTGGTTACAAGCATAGGTAAGTTTCTATTAATGTTTTAATTTAGCTACTCGTTTAATAATTGTTGCATTTTACAACAACTACTGTTTTATTACAGTGTGTGCTTATAGAATCTCCAAAACATAACCTTACGTTTGTTTCTCGTATTTTTATACGTATTTCTATACGTATTTTTTAGGCTACCTAGTTATTCCAAGCATACTTATTTTCCTTTGTTTTGGTCAGTTGTTTTTTATTTAATAAAATGTCTAAAATAACCCTGTCTCGGCGTTATTTACTAAGAAAAATAGCACAAAATGTTTAAGATGCTTTAAAGTCAAATCAATCTTTTTTTATTCCCAGTGAAGATAACATTAATAAGGCTTTGGACATTAATATATCATCTGATTCTATTATTTATAATAATTTCCTAGAAAGTAATACAAATTTAACTTTGGAGCTTTTAGAAAATATTTCACCTGAAATGCAGTTAAATTTTGTTTATAGGAATGGAGGTGAACCAAGAGACTTAACCGACCAAACGATTAGAAGTGCTATGCAAGATTGGCTTAAGTTAGCTAAGGCCTGTCTAGGACACAACACATCCAAAGTGTTAAGCTAATATTTTTTGTTAGTTAAAGAAAAGTTTCGTTTAGTTTGTTATTCAGTATTTTAGTGTTTATTTTTTAGTATTTTATTGTTTTTTTTTTTTTTTTTTTTTTTTTTTTTTTTTTTTTTTTTTTTTTTTTTTTTTTTTTTTTTAATAAAATATTGTTCTGTACATATATCAAGAACAAGTGATCAAAAAAATTTCCTAAATATTTAGACCAATTACAACCAAAATAGAAACACGAGTAATACCTATTTCTAGTGTATACACACCTGCTATGGATAAAATCCAAACTGTCATTTAAGAAATATTAACATTTTTCCATGGCCTCTTTTAGAAATTTTGTTTTGATCACTTTATTTAATTTGTATTTGAAATATATTTAAAATAATATCAGGTAGACGCATTTTACACATTAATAAAATAAGATACATTTAATATAGACGTATAGTAAAACAGGATAATAAAAGGTAGATAAAGTAGTAATGTTAGACGTATAAAAAATAAAAAAAATATACGTTTATAGGGCGGACATTTTCACGTACATATTAGGTAGCATATCAACGGTATCCATACGTACATTGTAGTACATAAAAAAACGTCTTTTATACCAAAGTGGATTCGTATAAATATACTACAAATATAAATCTAATATAGACGTATAGTAAAAACGTTTAATTATATGTGGATAAATTCTTAGTAATCGACGTTTATAAGGCGGACATTTTCACGAATATATTTGGTAGTACATCAACCGTATTCATACGTATGGTAGTACCTAAAAAAAAACGTAATTTATACCAAAGTGTGCTGCCTGGGTAGTTTCTTTTGTTTATTTTATATTGAATAAAAACGTCTTCTAATCAGAATAAAGTTTATTTTTCAAGACAGTCGAAGTGAACTGTCTACTCTAGAATATACTGGACACGCAATTATTGTTGAGGCATCGCTTCTCAAAGCAGTGATTTTTAGTCAAATGACATCTAGAATGATCGAGCGCAAGTCTGGAGCGCCACATTTGTTATAAATAGTTTTTACGTTGAGTTCAGTTCTAGCACAGTTTATTGCTAAAAAATCAGTTATCTCACTTGGACCAGTTGAATGTTCCAAAATAACATCCACTCCTGGGATACAAATTCACAATGCGCAGAAGACTGCTGTTTAAATATAGGCGGTTATCATGTATTGTAATGGTTATGATTTAATTCTGTATCACAAATCCGAGTTGCGCAATGTATAAACTGGAACATTAAGATCAAAAGTGCCGACGCAGAGTGAGCGAACTGATTATTTAGCTATAAACTGTGGTTCTAGTTCTATTCAAATAAATATTGTCAATGAATAAACGTTACAGTACTTCCCTGTTTAAATTTTATTGGTTAGTGATAAAGGGGAAAGAAATGACTTATGACAGTTGAGGATATGATAAAAAGTTGTCCAATTGGAGTAAAAATCGACCTGTTTTTAAGTTTTTTTTTTATACAATTTTATCAAAATGTTCTGAGATATAACAGATAACAGCCCTTAATCACAATATACCAATTTTTTTTGATAGGATGGTTTACTTCATGCTATAAAAGAAGAATATGTTGAAGCAGTTGAAATTCTTCTGAATTGGGAAGAGGAACATCATATACCAGGTGAAAAATACGTAAGTATAGCAGCAAATTATTGGTAGTTACTAAACAAATTATATTGTTTCCTTTTAGAGTTGGGAAAGGACTGATCGCTCAACTTCGACTTTCACGTCTGACGTAACACCATTAGTTTTAGCTGCTCATAAGAATAATTATGAAATCATTAAATTACTTTTAGATAGAGGGGCAACATTGCCCATGCCACATGACGTAAGGTAAACACAAATAAATCAAACATTGAAATAAAATTAAGCACCCTCCTGTAAAAATATTACGCATAAGTAGAAAAAAATAACGACGGCAACATTGGTTGTGACAAATCTAATTAACACTTTCGCTGCCCAAGCTTTAATGCCAACTACACGCTCTGGCCCATCTGTATACGAACATTTAGAAGTTTGGACGTTCATTAACGTCATGGGCCATACACAATCGAAATATAAAAAGAAAAAAGGATGTCAAGTACTGATGTCAAAGAAGTATATTACTGGGCCGCTGACTGACGATGTACCTATATATTCATTTATCGATCACCATAGTCAAGCCATTCTTGGATGTGTGACCCGAGTTCTTGGGAGCCCATCTAGAGAGTGGAATGAATGAATCGGAAGAAATAGGGTATCCAAATGGTGATACAATAAGCCAAGCATGTCACCATGCTGAAATTCTGTAGGGGAGACTGGACCATTCAAGGTGGGGAGTGGGAAACAATCAAGAGTAGTTCAAAAGGATGCCTGAAAGGATGAAAAAAGACGTAAAATCTTCGTCGTAGTTTTATACAAGATGTAACCATTAGTGCGTAATTCCTTTATATTTTAATTTGTATTATAGACACGCAAACATGTTTTGAATAAAAGTTATGTGGATTTAAAAAACATAATTTAAAAATATGTTTGGATATACAAGGTATTACGCTTTTGCCTGGAAAGTAAAAAATGTGTTTTTAAATGGAACACCCTGTATTTTATTTTAGTTTTAGAGTGGCATTTTAAATATGGCTCGATCAATTTACAATTGTTTTTTCAAATGCAATACCTTGTAGCATTAAATACGTTATAAAGTTACCTATTCATCGATAACATATATACATATACAGGATGCCCCATCAGTGCGTAATTAATAGATAGCTGTATATTTATTAAAAATACGAAGAAGTGTTTATTTGAAAAGTTGTACGACCTTTTATATAATTATTCTTAAATATACATGGTAGTCTATATGATTTTTGTAAACTCAATGTATACTAACTGAAACTCGTGTGTGTGTGATTACACCTTTCGGCACTGATCAGTGCCTTCTTCAGTGGTTTTTATTAGTATCTTTTTTTAATGATGACACACTTTAATTTCTGTACCAAAGGATTTCGAATGTAAACTCCCATATATATAAAAAAAAACAATGTTTTAATGAAGAGAAAAAAAAATAGTAATAAAAATTACTGAAGAAGGGACTGATTAGTACCTAAAGCTTTAACTACACATAAGAGTTTCATTTAGACTTCCTTTGTAAAGTACCAATATAGTTTTTTAAACCCAAATACCCTGTAGGTAGTTACGCCTCACAGATTTATTTGTTATCACATCGTTTTATAACATTAATAGACTAAAAGTTTCTAAAAACGTTTTGCATTTTCATTTATTTTTAGAAACGGTAAGTCTATTAAAATTGCTTGACAATTAAATTTGTTATACGGGGTGTTTGGTCCACCTCTCATTTATTAACTTTCCTGTATATTTAATAATAATCGTAAAATATGGTCTTACAACTTTTGTATTAAGAATGTCTTCGTATCTTAAATAATAAAACCGCTATCGATAAATTAAGCACTGACCCAGACAGCACAAATCAATCCATCGGAAGTCCATTCATGGACATATCGGCTGTCCAAAGGACGTCCAACATTTTACCAAAGGACATCCAATGGACATCCACTGGACTATACAAATGTCCCACTCCTGGACGTCCATTTGGACTCCATGAAAGGTCCATATATGGACTCTTTTTGTATTGCTTTTGGACAATTTATGGACATCTGACGGACATCACCACCTATATTAATATAAAATAAAATAATTGCAACTATAGACTTATTTTTATTGTCATAAATAATATCAAGCATGTATTAGTTTTATACGCACTCCTTTCTGTTGACCTTCTCAGCCATTTTCTTAAGGCTGTTTCGCTTACTTTTTAAGCAGCACCATTGTCACTCTCAGCAGCAGCTAAAAAAAGACATTATATTTCATTCGAATATTGAGTCTTAAATTAATCGTTTAATAAACGCCTGATCAGGCAAAAGTGATAGTTAAAAGTGTAAAATTTTTAGATAAAATATTATTAGCTAATATGAAAATATGCATTGACTAATGTACTTTGCCCCTATACTTATATATAAACAAAAAACTGCTCATTGTTTCTTTAAATTACCATTTTACTTTCATGCCATAATATTATGTGAATTCTTTCGTGAGGGTATTAGAAATTATGGAAACGAACCATCTTTTTATATGTTCGTCATGTCCTTGCCCTGGTTTTGGTAACTGCTGAATCTAAAACTGCAATAAAAATATGTATTTGTAAACATAAAAGAGAAATAACTTATGAAACATCTTTCAATGCATTATTTCTTAAACGTTACAAAAAGATTCTATTTTATTTAATAAAAGTAAAACTTACAGCTTCTTTAAAAATATTTGTATCTTCTAAATAGCCTTCTACTTCTGCTAACGTCTCATGCAGTACAAATAGAAACTTTTCTTCTGCTTTGAACGTTTTCTCACCTCTTAGTTACAATAATAATTGTGTTGGCATCATCTCGAATTTGCTAGCTTTTAGTAAAGCCATTTTCTTAAATAGGTAGGTACATCATTTGACAAAAGGTCTAAAAGAAAGGGATTGTTTGAATGTAAATCGAAAACAAAGTTTAAAACATAATTGATAGGTTTTATTAGTTTAAAACAAACGATTTGCTTTTTAATTTTTAGATTTTTAAATTATTTAATTAATAATTAAGGTAGATTCATAAACTACGTTCAGTTCGCGCTCAGTTGCAGTTGGCAAGACATAACCACAAATTCCACAAAATAAAATTATTTTTTGGTGTTATTTTTGTTTTAATTATATTGGTAGATAGTGTTGGTTATAAAATAATTTTCAATCCGTTATAACTTCTTATCCAAAACATACTTACCGTGTCATTTTGCTCTGTTTATGTTGAACTTGAACTGAAGCGTGAACTGAACGTAGTTTATGAATCCACCTTTATACTTATTTTCTTACCAGATAAACATCCATGTGCTGTGTTTTCTTCTTAACCTCTTTCTTCTTTTCTTCTTCGAGTCTGGCCTGAGTGGCCTTTTACTTTTCTATCTTGTCAACAAAGGCGAGTGGAGAGGAAAATTATTTGATTTATTTTAATTAAAATCTAGTAGTAAATAATTAAATTATGCAAAAAGAATTATAATAATTTATTATAAGTTAGTCATTTTTATATTGTCCATCATGGACATATTTTGGACATCCATTGGACTTCTGAATAGGTATATCCATTGGATAACGGAAAACGGATGTCCAATGAATATCCATATGAAGTTCATGGACATCCAGGACATTATTTGGACAAAATATGGACGTCCAATGGACGTCGCGTGCTAACTGGGGATGAGACACCCTGTATATGTATAATACGCTAACATAATGGCATCGTTAGAAAGGTAAATTTATAATGAAATTAGTGTTAAAATGATATGCAGGGTGTTGAATTCGAAAAAAATTGAATAAACTGAACTTAAAGCAGTCATATTTATGAGATGTTTTAAAAACCTCTGTAAAAAAATAAACTAGTTCTATCATGCCTATTCGTTAGCTTTATATCTTATATGCCTGTTTTGTAAATATTGTTCAATTCATTGATAAGCTACTTAAACTTTGATAATTTTATTTAGGGTCTATATCATTCTATAATTTCACCAAAAAATTAATCGCTTAGAAAACCTGTAATACTTTTTTAAAATATTCTAGAGTTTATTACATTATTATACAGTGTTTCATTTAAAAATATATATATTTTTACATTCAATGCAAAAGCGTAACACCTTGTATATCCAAAAATATTTTTATATTATTTTTCAAATCCATATAACTTTTATTAAATACTTGTTTGCGTGTCTATACCACACATTGTAATATCGAGCAATTATGCACATCATTTAATTAGAACCTGTTAAAGCCTTGCTATGTTAAATTCACAAACACTGTATCAAAACCAAATTCATAATGCACTAATTTAAGAACCCTTTCACATACCTGTGGGGTTATAAAGGCAATTCACTGCATGGTGGCTTATCTACATTCATCGTAGCATACATTTTCAAATGACGTTCCAAAACGTCATGGGCATGGGGGAAAGTACTAAAGTCTATTCAGATTTTATTTACGCCGCGTCAAAACAATTTCTCCCATCCATCAACAGCTCACGTGACATTTTTTTGCGCTTCTATTGGTTAATCGGTCGTTAGTCATTTAGACGCAAATATTTTTTGTCAGAGTCGAATTCAGTTCAATTTGGATAATTATAAACGGCGTTTTGGTAGCATTCACCGTGTTGGTTAGTTTGGACATTTTGTATGTCTGACTGATTATAATTCATTATATTTTAGTTTAGATATACATATATTGTGTTATTTATTTTTTTTTGTTTTTGTGGTTGTTGTTAGTTTGAACATGTTTTACTCTATTTTATGGACATTTAATTGAGTATATTTTGTAATTGCTGCGTGACACTATGTCCTCCATAGATACAGCAGATGAAGTCCAGAAAAATGTTTTTACTCCTTCTAAAAAGCGACTGAAAAAGGGACATTTGGTCATCCGTACTAAAGAAATGGTTCTTAATATTTATAAGCATTAAATTTTATAGAACCCTGATATGTTGGTACATGATGTTGAAAGGAGAGTTGCTGATAAAACACGGATGTGCGCTAAAACCGTTTTTAATGTTATGAAGAAAGGCAGATTCATAAATTTTCTGAACCAAAAAGAAAGCTACGTTATAAACAAATTAGTGGCTCTGTGGATGATTTTGATAAAAATGCAATAAGGCGCAAAGTACATCAATTCTTCTTTAGCAATTAACTTCCAACAATTGATAAGGTTTTATAAGAAGTCAACGATGATCCATATTTGTCTACTTTTAAGCGAGCTACATTTTACAAGC